AAAGAAAAGTAGGGTATAGAATAAGCCGAAAGTCACCCGAAACAGTCTCTCGCGCTGGCGTGGAGGAACTGCAATAGAGAGGCATAAGAACAGTCTTACAGCTATGGGACTAGCTGTCTACTAAGAGGGGGGTAGTGTAACGATGTTACAACTTCGCCATGTATCGGACCAATCCCAGAGCCGGATCGGAGGTAGTACTCGCCGCCCTCTTCATCAACCACTCGTTGTGAGGTCGGATCCGATTCGGATCCGACTAAGATAAGTATATAAGGAGACACTCCCTGTAGCTAGCTCTGTAGACTTTTGATATCCTTTCGTACAAGGCCTATAGGTGTCTATTCGAATCAAGGCTCGTTTGATGTCCCACGCACTCCCATATGCCTCTGAGTGACACTACCGCCGATACTGATCCGAGTAGTCTTGCCTGCGCCGTTACAATAAAGATCTAAGAGACTAAGAATCAAAAGAGTGATATATATATGATATTCTGACTAATTGCTGACTAATATACCGCTTATATAAGTATAGGCTAAGTACTAGATGTATTAAGAATCTATTATATATATAAGCTAGAGTAGCTAAGACCATTATCACGTGATCTATATATCTACTACTACTATATATATAACTATTAGCTATATAGCTCTATCTACTATAGAGTTCTAAAAGTTCAAAATCTTTTAGAATTTTTCCAAGTATTTAAGTTATTATAGATCTACCTAAAGCTGCAGTAAAATGTCACGTGACACCTATGTAAAAGACTAGAAGATCTTGTTAGAGATATAAGCTACTCAGCTAATCTCTGATAAGATCGATCTATCAATCGACTAGATCGCTATACCCTAGCGATCTATACCATCATACTACTAGTGTATCACGAGTGTATTAGTAGCGTAAGAGATAAATAAAAGATTACGTGTATACAACGTAATCTATCGCTACTAGCTAGTATAAATACTAGTGATAAGAATACTAGATAGAAAGCAGAGCAGATAGCACAGAGCAGATTGCACAGAGCAGATTGCACAGAGCAGACTACTAGTGCAGACAAAAAGATAAGATCGGATCAATCCAATTCTTCAATCTCTCTCCCCTAGCATCATTTCTTTCTTTTCACCCTAGAACCTATCGATTCGCTACCTCTGAGTCTATCGCTAGACAAGTAGACGACTCTACCTCTGAGCTAGCTATAGAACAAGTAGCACCCTCCTTATTTCAACAGATCTTAGCTTTAAAACGCACTAACTTTTATATCTATAGCCACTATAGCTGCTGAGTAATTCTCTTTTAAAAATAATAACTTTTTTTTCTACGTTTTTTTTGTCACCCCACTGTATATCTTACTAGATATATATATATATATATATCTAACTATTACATATTATTTTACTAATATAGAGTAATCTAGGCTGGAGTTTTCAGCAAGATAACGCTACTATCCACTCTGCTAGTAACGTCCAAAGCTGGTTTAGACGAAACCACGTTAAGCTTTTTCATCATCCGCCCTACAGTCCTGACTTAAATCCTATAGAAAATATATGGGGTATACTTAAAAATAGACTATCTAAACTACCTAGTAGTCTATTAGGAAAGGGAGCTAGTGAAAGAGATATAAATAGCTTTATTAAAGCTATTAAGCAAGAGTGGCAGAAGATACCACAACAGAATATAGATAAAAGTATTCTATCGTTACCAAGACGCTATCAGGCTGTAGTAGATGCCAAGGGGTGGTATACTAAGTATTAGTAGCTAGCTATTGCCTATCTATTCTAATATATTGTCTAAAGTCTATATATATATATATCTTCTACTTTTACTAAGTACTATAACTATATATTATATATATATTATTTATAAGTCTATCAGTCTATATATACATAATAATATATATAAATATCTAAAAATAGCAGCGCGAAAAATGCTAATAAAGTAGTTTGATTTTTTCCCTCTAGATTCACGTCGATATTACTAAGCAGATATGCTTACTAATGACACTATTGTACTACTTATATAAACTTCTAGATATTCTCTATAATATATTTTTTTCTTACTACTATAGCTTATATAGCCGCCGAGATATATTGTTTTAAAAACATTAACTTTTTCGAGTACGTTTTTTTTTGTCCCCCCCTGTAGATGAACGTGTTATGTTAACGTGCAACGCTTTCTTCCTATATGTGCAAAATCGATCTCTCCACAGAAATGTCACTCGTCTTCACATGATCGTTGTCTAGTTTCCATTTCAATTTCTGAAATAGCCACATCTCATAAAATTAAGGCTACCTTGCTCACATCTGGCAAGACTCAATCAAACTCTCATTACCCACGTGATTCCGTATTCATGTTCGGGGTTTCCAGCAGCCATGCTTGGTGCCCTGTACCAATACTTCACGCCTTCCTTCTCACAAGCTTCATCGCTCCGCTGGACAAAGTACGCAAGATGACCTTCGAACCTCTGACAAGGGTGCGAGCTCCGTGACACTTCAGCCGGAATTGCTACTTTCACCTTTACCTTCGCCCTCGCCCTCGCCCTCACCTTTGTGTCTATATTAGCTCCATCCTCTCTAAGGATAGATCAAGACTTACGTGAATTCAACAATGCTTCATTGGCCTCTTGCGCCCTCCTTTTCGTGTCCATTCGTGCATTGGTGCGTGCAAAGTAGGATGAAGTATCATGTTTGACAGCGTATCGGATGGCTTCGATATGGGTCATCTGCGAAGTGAAGGGATCATAACTGTGCATGTCCCAAGAATGCGGAACAACAGGCTTGTGAGCACGTTCATTTGCTGCAGATTGATCATCGGTGCTAAGTTCGGAAGCGGGCATCTTCTTCTTATTTTTCTTCTTGTTTTTCCTCTTCTTCTTTTTGGGTGTCTCGGCTAAGGCGTTCTCAGACTGGGCGGCAGTCTCTCTATCAGGTGTATCTTGCGGACGATCTGAAGCGCCAATGTTGTCGTCAGGAGCAGAGTAAGCATCAGTTGGTTCATGAACATCATCTCCAGCTAGGGTTGAAGTGGACGAGCACAGTGAAAGAGATTGACGAGGATTCGTAACTGCTTTAAGAATTATTCCATGATGTACCTAGTTTCAGGTGCTTTTGAACCTACAGGACTGATCAGGTTCAGATTTCTCTGTAGACGGAGTTGGAATGACCAGCAATGATGTGAATGGCTTTCTGTCTGATCCTGTTTCGCATTCCGGTTCGTGAGTAGCAGGAGTAGTAGAATCTTTGTGGGAAGACTTTGCTTCATCATGAGACTGAGTGTTGGGGGAGATGGCTGTCTTTGACACAGAAGTGGAACTCAGTACCTGTGGCGAGAGGGGAGACTTAGAATCGAGTTGCTGCTCAGGCTCGGTTGATAAGACCTGCTCGACTGCTGGATATTGGACACTCTCATCTGCCTTATTCACCTTCTTTTGATTGTCTTCCGTATTAACGTCAGTAGACTTCGCCTTAGTTCGGCCTTTGGACTTCTCCATCTCCTCAGGAGTATGCTTCTCGGTTTTTGCACCAGCTGCATCTACATCAAAGTGTGCTTCTCCGGCTATGGATAAGTTGGCTGAACCCATGGACGTATCAAGCTCTCGCTGTGGATCTGTGGCAATCTTCGCTTTCTTCAAAGATACAATCTTATTGGCCTTGACCTTGGCAACTCGATCAGCCTCCTCCTTCTTCTGCTGCTTCTTCTTGGTCTCTTTTTCCTTCTTTGCTTGCGCCTTGTTCTTTGTCGCGAATGGATGGAGGGACTGCATTTGCTGAGCTCCGGCTTTTTTGACTGTGTCAGTTGGAGTCGGTTCGACAGGAGCTGACATGGTTACGCTCTGTTGTGCAAGAGCAGCTTCTGTATGCGATGTGTCTGGTGTTACCTCTTTATCCTGGCTGTAGCTTTCCCCGGTTTCGGGGGCTTCTGGGATACTTTCAGTATTTGACGCTACAGTTTTTGGTTTCTCAGGCTCCAAGTACGTCTCTCGAGCAGCATCGGGCTCGGGCTCTTCAGCCATGACTTGGGATTTGGGTCTGTCTTGTAGTGGGTTCCCGGAGATAACTTGTGAAGGTAGAGCGACGGTACCATGGTCCACAGTATTTGCTTGGTCACGGACCTCTGGTTTTGGTTTCATTTGTGTAGTTTCAGACTGCACTTCTGACGCGGAGTCAAAGCTATTGTTGTTCTTTACTCCAGTATCAGGAGAGTCATCCTTACCCTCGTTTCCTGCTCCGGGGATCGATGTTCTCGTATCGTCACTCTGTGGGATTTGGGTTGACTTTTTTCCGAGACAGGTATCGGTATCAATGGGTAGGGATGTGGAGCAAGATGTCTTGTCTTTGTTTTGAGCACTATCCAATTGGCTAGACTGCTCAGGTGGTTGTGCAATCGATTCTCGTCCCTCGTCTGCCGCATGACACACCTCTTGGCCGGGATTTGATGGTGGAACAACTTGAAATTCGGTTGAGTGAGTATTTCCAACACTCTGATCATCCGCTCTGCAAGATTCGTCGTTCTTGGTAGTGGCTGGAGATATTACATTAACTTCCGGTTCTTCATTGGCCTCTGGTTCCTCATGTATGGAAGGCTCCTTCTTGAATGGCGACTCGCGGTTGTTTTTACTCCTAGCTTTCTTTGCGGGAGACTTCTGTTGGCGTTTCGAGTTCTCCGATTCAGGAACGCTAGTCTCTATATAACTGGCGATGTCTAACTGTGCAACAGGCTTCTTTGGCAGGCCGCTTCTAGCATCCTGGGGAGAATACAATACCACATCTCTTGCTTTAGCCATTACATTATCGGCATTAATGGCAGTACTCTTCTCGTTATGGGATAGATTGGTCGTAACACGAACATGACTATTAGCTGCCTGGCTTGTGCGTGGGTAATCAGAGTACACTGTCGGGGGTGGCTCTTTCTGATAGAACCGCCTTGGTACTGAGACTGTCGGCCGAACCTCGCCGTTTCGTAGCTGAGGGACCAATTTATTGATAGTAAGAGCCACCTTCGCATCAGCGCATGATGCAAATCTACACACGTTAGCTAGTCCAGAATACTGAGGAACGATCTACTCACGTGGCAAAAGCATGGAAGGGACCTTTTCCTGGATTATATCTCAAAGAAATCGTAGTAGGAGTGATTCCAATCGTCTGTTCAAACAGCTGCAGAATCTCGCTTTCGCTGACATCCGGGGGCAGATCTCCAATCCAAAGCTCTTTGACAGTAGCATTGTTAGGGCCAATCCAGGTGTGGCCACATCCAGAAACGGAATCGCCTGTGATGTTCGGATCATCTTCTGATTGACGTCGTCTGCTGCTGGTATCGTTATAGCGTGGGCCTGTCGGAAGCATATGGCTATGACTACTATGGACTGAACGGCCACTTGAAGTGGACATCTTTCGACCTCGGTGCTGCGGAGCTGTGAAACCGTAGGGCCCACCTTTTTTTCCCGTATCACCGTACGCTTGCCCGGCGCTAAACTTGCGGTTGTTGCCATTGTACGGATCATAGAGTTGATTTGCGCCTGAATGATTGGAACGGCGAGGTATCGGTGCTCGAGGATCTATGCCTTGGGAACCTATATGACCCGGGAAGTGCATATCCGTCATCTCACCCATCAACATTGGCTGTGGTCCTTGTGGATCGCTGAGATAAGCTAGGTTCATCTGCATTCCTCGTGCGACACCTGGTTGGTAGCCTGTGTGCCCCCGAGACGCTAATGCGGGTTCCATGGTCTGGACAGGATATCCTGGATGAGGCATCATCAGTGGCCCCAGCAAATAGGGATTCATTGTAGGATCTGAAATCATTGGGGTAGGCATCTGCGGGCCACTAGCCATTTGGACCGGAATGTACTGAGTCGATTGTATTCCAGGTATTCCAACAGGATCCCGCCGCGGATACGGTCCAGAAACTGTACGGCTTTCGTTCTCAACCCAACCTTGCGGCTGGCTGTATAGTCCAGAACCCAGATTTCGACTACCCTTGGGTCCTTTCAAGACTTGCGCACGTGTATTCTGAGACTCCATAGATACGACTATCGTGCGCTCCATGCCGCTGTATCTTGTATGCCTTTGGAATTCATCTGGCTGTTGCGGCACATAGGGTGTAGCACGTTGGGATAGCGGTTGCAATCTTGACTGATCTGACGTAGTGAGGGTTGTAGTAGCTGTGCGACCAGTCTCATCTGGTAAGATCTCTGTCAATTGTATCAGCCTTTTTAGTCTGAACCACCACTGTTTGCGGCGCTTCTTACCGGCTTTCTTGCTGTCGGGTTTCGCAACTGTGATAGTTGTCACTTTTGCCTCACCGACATCTTGCTGAGCCCCAAGAAAAAGTTGCTGGTCTCGAATTGAATCTAATGCAGCGTTGTTGGCCAAGTTGGAGTCGTTCCAGCTGGCAATCAAGATAAAGGCGACGTGCCAGAGGAACGCTCGAGGAAAGGAATTGAGTTCGCCGAAGACAAAGATCTGATCGAGAGCTGTGAGTGGATCATTGAGATCGTACACATTTCCGATATTGATGCCGGTGAAATCAAGTCGATCCGGATGCTCTTGAGCCCAGTCCTTAGCAAATCCATCCGCGGCATATAAGGTGTCACGCGCGATGAAAGTAAGCATCTGCTCGCAGAATTGCCTGCCCTCGACAAAGATGTCTGCAGCATCCCAGAGATCCTCAACAGTCCAGCGTTGGTTGGGGAATATACACAGGCATTGATCTTGACTGTAGTTAGCGACTAGTTTGTACGCTCTTCGCACACCAGTATACTCACTCTTGTATTTGATCTGCCAGTACCTTGCAGCCTGTACCACAGCTACAGGATCGTTCGTACTGCGCACAACGGTAGGTATAAGGCCTGAGCCTATCAGACGGTGGGCTTGCGTTCCAAGCTCGGTAGAAAAGTAAGCTCGTCGTACACCTGGCAAAAATCTCGCGTCTCTAGTCGCATGTTGAATAGAATCAACGGAGTCGCCCATGTTGGTAACAGTGGCAGTGGTCATTGCTTGGGACTTGTGCCAGCCTACTCTAGAGCAGCAGATGGGATAGTCAGTTGAGGGTCAGACTCTTCCGCGACTGAGAGATGCAGCAAATGATGCTGGCTTACGAAGGAAAGGGCGTGCTTGAATGGATATCTGCGGGGAAACAGCAGTTCCAGTTGAGGAAAGAGCGGCCGCAGTGCAAAATGCAATTGTGGGTCTCAATGGAAATGGAGCTGAGGAACGGGTAACATTAGAGAAGAAGTATGAGTAGTAGGACAAATGTTTGTTTACGATTGCTTCAAGTGGAAGAGGCAGGCAGATTCTACGCGCCAAGAACGAGGCAGAGGTGAGGGTCGAAGTGAAAGTGAGCAACGCACCATCACTACATCCCATTGGTCGAATCATGCGCCCCTTGGAACCATGATTCACAGATATTATGTAGTTTCTGCCTATCATAGAGGCGCTTGGTATGAGAAGTAATGAACATGGCTAGAGAAGAAGACTGGACATTTGGAAGTGAAGCGGTATGGAGCACGGAACAAGCAACGAGAACTGCCGCACCCACTCTTTGAGAATAACTAAGAAATCTCTTAGAAGGGATACTTTACATATACAGATGTATGGATCAATCTCTGATGAGAGACGCAATCACCCGTCGCTTGGAAGCAGGTCGCGTTAGTCATCAAGCGGTCGAGCTGTGAGGAGACGAAAGGCCCAGCAGTACCTTTCAAATAATTCTCTCTGCTGAAGTTGACGTACGACTCAGTTTACAGTGTTCTGAGTCGATGCAATAGGTATAGTGCAAATCAATCTATCCTACTCTCCCTACGCGCTGTCTTTCTCCTTTGACACTGAGCGTACCAGCTTCATGATTTCACTTTCGTTTTCACCAACGACTGTCTATCTTCAGTAATCTATTCTCACAATATAGGTTCTCACGCTGTCATGGGTCAAACTTACCCGCCTTGCCCTGGTTCCAATCCACAACGAGCGGTCGTTGGAATGTCGCGGCATCAGCCTTCAGCCGTCGCATAGCATCGGTCTCGCTCTCTGCCCCACTGATGACTTTTCCTGCCGCGCTTGGTCCGCCTAGGTAGTCCAGAATGTTCTTGAGCTGGTCGGTGGTAGGTGGGGCCTCTGTAACATCGAGCTCGAATTCTGTGCGCTCAGCCTTGTCTTGGGCTTGGTGAGATGATGCCTGATCTTCGGTTGCATGCGCAACAGATTGCGCATTAGCTTGTTTGAGTAGGGTGAGGACACGCGTTGAGGCTTGGTTGGAAGGCGCATGGAAGAGAGTTACGACATTCTTTGCGCCGTGCTAAAGAAAAGTCAATGAGTAGCTCCCAATGAATTACAGGCATCAATTTACCTCTCCAAATAGTCGCTTGAACATATTTGCAGTGATGTGTTCTGATGCCGAGCTGGTAGGTTTGCAAATGAAGTCGAGATGGTGCTTTGGCAGCTTGAGTTGAGGTTCGGGTGTGACGTAGATCGTCTCGCTTGTGCCTACCCCATCTGCCGGAGCTCCTGCGGAGACGTTATCGACAAGAGATCGATTGCACTGCTGCCTAGATGCTTAATCATTGGTCACCGTAGTCATGAATGTATCAAATCGAATGATATTGAATACGAGAATCATGTCTAGTATCCACAAAAGACCATCAGTAAGAGTAGGCAAATCAAACAGATAATTGATTGCAATCAGCGAATAGAGCTGAGCTCTAGATCAGCTATTTTGTAGGACTGTGGCGAAAGTAGAGACAAAATCCATCGCAAACAAGCAGTATGACAAATATCACAAATATGGAACATGAACATGGAATCACAAGCATCTGGATTTCGTGATGCAGCCGTGCAAAAAGCAGAATATACATTTACGCCATGAATATGCCCCCATCATCCCAAAGTGTGGGATCATGCTTCTGCAAAGGAACGTGCCGTAGCGACGTCCGTGATTCCCACTCCCTCTGATCCAGAGTCATAGCTGTACTGAGGAAACCGAATTCATGACCGTATTCTCTAGCTCATCGTGCTCATTTCATGCGCCCTTCCTCTCATGCTTGGCTTATGAGGTGGGGTTAGGGTTCATCTGCTTTCCGTCAGCATCTACTCGTCATGAGTGCTTTCGTTCTCAACGGACCTTGCGCTTGCCACCGGTCATGGTGACGTTGACGAAACGGCGGGTGTATGTGAGCCTCTTCTTCGCGCGGCCCTTGGGGGTCTTCTTCTTCTCTTGGGGCTCAACCTAGTAGGGTGTTAGATCAATTCTCTTGATTGTGGTCCATAGCCTAGGTCCTGTCATGGTTGCGGGGTCGTCGTTCGACGTAGTGCGTTCGATCGGGACGGCGTGTCTTGATAGGGATGCTTACCTTGGGGGCTGAGTACTGTTAGCAGATATTCATCTTCATTTCAACACAAGCCAAGACTTACTCTGAGACTTGACCTTTCCGGCACGAGCGAGGGATCCGTGAACCTTTCCCATATTTGCGGTTGTTGATGAGTCGAGTTTGTCTGTAGGGTGGCGAACTCCTGTTAGCGGGCGTGTTTCTTGTGTGCAGACGTCGAGTGGAGGGCTGTAGAAGCTTTTTATCGCCAAACCTCGGGTTTGATGCAGTTGTGATTGCGGGGGTTGGCGGTATACGTACAGTTTGCGGGTGCGGTCGCTGTGTGTTGGATGGCTGGGCCGCGACAATGGTGTTGAAAATGCCTGTGTAAGAGCGGACCAGCGGATTAGCCGAGATCACGTGTTATGCTAGCGCACAACTCCATCTCCAACACAGTGACGCAACAGCACTTTATGATTGGGAACATTAACAAAATTTGCACGGATCAATTTCAGGTTCTTCAAATTTCTATGCTGTTTCGATGCTTGGATATTGAGACTTGCTGTGTTTCCAGCTTTGTTGAGATACACAACCAGAGTGCGCCTTCACTCTGCCTGATGATCAATCAAATAAGATGATGCTGACGAGCCATCGTCTGCTATACTAACATGCTCGGCGAGACTCCAATTACACTCGCATAGCGTGTGGATGCCTCGAATAAACCGCTGCAAAAACTCGATACGCAAAGCTATCGCATTCCAGTCGTACTACCAAATAGGTTTCGGCCTAGTCCCAGCCGGATATCCCCGCCGCCGATCGCATGATGCGCATGATGCGTCCCGTAGCTTCCTTTGGACGCGTCGGTGTTTACCTCAACCACCACTTGACTGACAGCTCACTGTCTCCATCCTACACTTGATTATCCTTGTTCCTGCCCTCCAGTTGCACAGTTTCAAGTAAAGTTATAATGCATCTTCAAAGCACCCTTCTGGGCTTTATCGCCCTAACTACAGCTACTAACGTCCCATCACCACAACACCTCTTCGCAAATCCTTCGGTACCCGAGAAGTCCAACTACAAGATTCCTACTGTCCATGAATCCGCCGTCCAAGCCCGCAGAATCATGCGCCTGGAGAACATCGGCACACTCTCCACCATTTTCCCCAACGCGCCTCACGCCACCGAGCAACGACCCTCTGAAGTGGCGGGCACGCCCATAGGTCTCATGGACTATTTCGGTGACTGCGAACCTGAGTCCGGCAACCCGACCATTCTCGCCATCACCATCGCCACATCTTTCAAGAACGTCGACGCTGGGTCCAACATCACGCTGAGCATGCGCTGGCACCCTCAAGATAATAAGTGGCGCAGTCCCGCATCGCTTCCGCGCTTCTCGCTCATAGGCCATTTGGAAGACATTGATATGGATGCTGTAGAGAAACTAGGCATGACAGCTTGCTTTGTCAAGAAGCACCCCGATGCTGCGTGGTGGCTTCCAGGCAACAGAATTCATGAGAGCAAGTGGGTAAGGCTGGTCGTTGACGATATTTACTGGATCGGAGGTTTTGGAGACCGCGCATACATTGGCTGGATTCCCAAGGAGGAGTGGTTCAGCGTTACCCAGGATGAGATTGATGGCGTTCAGTTGCCGGGTGAGAAGAGCAGTGCTTGGGGTACCTTGAGCAGTTGGTTCGGCCTTGGTCAGCAAGAGCAGGGTTTATTTGAGTTGTAGGGCTGTTGATGATTAATGACTAGATCATACATCGGACATGAGAAGTTGGTGGAAATCAAGGGCTCTGCTTATGATTCCCGTAGCATGACGTTATTTACGGACTCGATAGTACACGATTTGATTGTTACCCGACATGTCATTCTGCCTCTACTTTCCTAAGTCTTCCGTACATATCGTCTGGATTGCACCTGTTCCTATCAACTACTCAGCAATACTATACTTGCCTACGACGTCTTCATACTGTGTTGCCACCAGGCTCTCCGTTGAAAATCGCGTCATTATAGATTTTCATATCACTCGTTGCATAATATCACCATGCGGACTTCAGCAAAAATGAATTCTTTTTTTCGCAATATCGACATGTATTCTGTATTTATCTTATGACTCCTCGCCGTTGTATAAATTTCTACCACAGATTAGATATCCGCTCTTCAAACACTATTTGAGCGCTCTTTACTACATCTCCACTTTTACATATCAATCCTCACACCCAGGCCCATGAAAACAAGGGGGAGCATCCCTCGTCCCGCACGAGCAACATACCGATTCGATTCAATCCAAAGGGGAAGAAAGAAGAATCCGACTTCGCTATATCCATCCCAATATGTCTTCCTCAATCCCTCGCCCCTCCTTCTCTAATATATCATTTTTCTCAATCAGTCTCACTTGTACTTAAGAACCCACCTTATCATCCTGCACAAAGCTCTATCTCACCCTGCCCTCTCGCATCCATACCACCCACAAATATCCATCCCATCCTCTCAACACAGGCACTCTACCCCACTCTCCCGCATAACAGCACAATACTTCCACACTACACTGTCAGAAAGAATCCTCTCACTATACAAATTTCCAGCTTGCCAGTGAACTTTGCCATCCGCAACCCTACAAGTGTTATATTCAACGCGCTTACCCCAGCTAGAAGAGCAAAACACAGAGAACCTGTAGCAGACGCGTGGAAATTTTTTAGACTACAGACCATTTCTGCCACGCCTACTTTACGCTTCTCGAGACTGTTCTACTTCTCCCACATATCACTCACAGTCAGAGCTGGGGCTGGGGAAGCTATATATATTCTCTCATTCCAATAATTTGTTTGTTTTTATGTTGTACTATTTTAGCGGAGTTTGTAGAGAGCTTTGGAAAGTGTGGAATGGAAATGATGGAGTGATACAAGCCACTAGTTTCACAATATGGTATGATATACAAGTATTTTCTTTCAGGATACTAAAATTCTTTTTTTTTAAACCACAATGCTAAGGAATTCGCAAGATGGAAAGATTGAATCTCTCTATCACCCTTCTCCAAAAACAAAAAGTAACTCCTAGACTTTAAAGACTGTTTTTGTACGGAAACTAAACTTCTTTTAAAATTTCTAATTTGTAGGAACGAGTTTTTTTTCTTCTTCTCAAGTTTTAGTGCTGAGGAGGCATTTTCTTAACTTCTCCTTGTTTGACCTCTGTACTGATTCTGAGCCAAAAGGCTTACTGTATTTAGCTACTTCAGAGAATGATTGTATAGTCAATACCATCAATATCATACAGGTTTCTACCCATTCGTGAGTTTACGGCACATGAACATGAGTGTTTCTTTTTTTTCTACATGGGGGAAGGGTGAGCATGGAGAGTGGATAGGGAGAGGCAAGAGAAGAAAGGAAAGAAGGAGGGAAGAGATTTGGGCTGCACAACAGAATCGAGCATAATATTGTGAGAGCTTATTGGAATTGTGATAGGAAGTGTAGGGGAGACAGAGAAAATAGAAAATAGAGAATCACTGTACATATCTCTTTGAGTGGACAGATATGGCTTTCCTTTGCTATCTGTCCAGACGACAAGTTTGATATTGCGTCTCTGCACATCTCGCCATTTAGGATTCATTATCTCCTTCACATCGCGTATGTACTCCATCTCCCCCTTATGCACATACTCACCGCCAGTCTTCGTCTTCCAAACGGGCTAGCATGAACGGTGAAGAAATGAATGCCGTATATCTCCATACCATGTATCCGCAAAGACACATAATCTCACGCATGGAGGCTCTATCCGGCCTTACCTAACCTTCCCCTCTTACAGAATTAAAATCGGAAGAGAAAAAGAAGATAGAGATGTGCACCTCCTCATCTACAATACGAGACATGTAAGCCAGAGTACGAGTAAGCCAAGCATCACTCTTGTAACGGCATCAAGAAGCGGCAGTGAAAGTCTGGCCAAGCTTGATCGTCCATCGTCTGACCCGAACCGCTCAAAACTAACTTTGTCATCCATCTTCATCGCACGCGGGTCGAGACCCCCCCAAAAAGAGAAAATGATATCCCCATCTCCTCTCAACCCCAAATTCTGACCGAAAGGAGCAAACAAACCAAAAAACGCTCAAGGCATTTCCCGAACAGAGTCAAAGCAAGGGCCCCCCTCCTTCGAATTCGGGCAGAAAAGAAAAGGGAATTATGGCAAACTCCATCTCAGTCTCGCCTTTAGTACAAAAAAATAATTCCATCATGTAAGATGGCGAAAACGCGCCTACCATATCACGCACCCACCATGAACGCACATAAGCGCGCTCTCACGAGGGAAGGAAAGAAAAAAAGGGCCACCTAATTCCGCATATCCACTCGTATCACGCCCACGTTTTCTCACTGGCAAAAAAAAAGAGAGAAAAAGTAGCAAATCACATAAAAGAACGAAAGGCCCGACCGAAGTTGTTACCCGCGGATGCGCCGGACAACAGCGGAAGAGGTGGGTCGAAAGCTTTCCCCTCGCCTCTTACTTTTCCAGCAAAGGAAAAAAAAAAGGTCCCGCTGCCGCTACGATGCGAATCGTGATAATCCCGCCCATGTTCCCCGTACCATGCCTCTAATCTCTCTCGCAAAAAAACACACGTGTGATGACTTGGAGCGTGCCCCGCTCGGGGGCTTGAGCTGTGCGTAAGTACGTGTGTCGCGGGTGGGTTATCTGATGGATACGAGACTGGGTATGAGTATGGATACAAATTTGGGTATGGGGGAAAGAAAAGGGAAAATGCCATGGTACTCTACTCTAGTGAGAAGTAAAGTACGAAGCAAGAGAGGCAGAGAGGGCAAAAGATGCGCCGAGAGAGACGGTGGTCGGACCTCCCAGCTGACTGTATGGCTTATTAAGGCGAAGGATTGGCTTGTTTACCCCAGTCCCCCCGGTCCATCGCCCACGCCACCTACCCTCCCACATCGTATTCAGCAGATGGAAGTACTATTGTGGCATTTTCTTGTTTGGGGCTGGGTACGGCGGTCTCGATGTTGGGTGGTTGCTTTTCGAGTCAGGTAGCTGTTTTACGCTTCTTTTGTTTTTCTTAGGTTCCTTTACGGACGTAACGGGGGAAATGGATACCGTTATTTCCTTTTTCTTGGGTTCTCCTCGGTAATTAGATGGATGCTAGCAACTAGGGAACAAGGCATCCAGCTTCTCATCGTGTTTTTGGGATTTACTTTAGGGTACCAAAATTGAGCTTAGGGCGGAAGGAGCGGGGGACGTGCGAAGTTGCATTCGTTGGGTCTGTAAGTGATGGCTTCGAGACGGGGGATTACTAGGTGGATTGCTAACTAGTAGAGAGCGCGCCAATCAGATGAAGGGACAGTGAGTATAGGAAAGGATTGCGAGCGACGAGGCGAAAATGGGTACCCCACGCATTTTGCGCTGAGAAAAAACGCCGAGGTTGCTTTTTTCGTCGTGTTTGCAAAGCCTGGCGCTGAGACCACCACGTACCATGGCCTTTCTCGAGGGCTCAGCGGTCAGGTATTGCTAAACAATGCATGAAATTGATTCTATCTTCTTTTTGACATTGCTCCAGCAGTAGTCCGTACCTGGATATCGTACGCTGGGTCGTACCCAGTACCTTGAATAGCGGTGACGGCAGTCACGTTTTGTTTGACGAGGGAATGAGACGTCGTACTAGTTGCAACACCTTGGCTCTGATTACAGCGGAGACAGCCACGAGGATGAGGGGGGCGGGAGCCAGGGACTTCCTCGTAGCAGGAGTAGGAAGCATCCTTCCAGGCCACGCTTCACAATTCCCTTCGGCCGTAACTGGGTACTTTCCAGGGCGAAGACGCTTGACGTCGCAACCCAAGAACAAGATGAGGGGGAACGGCGTGGCACTCCGTCATCTGATCATCACCCGGCTGTCAACAGGCATGATGCTGGAAGAAGTTTTATACGCGAAGATGCTTGGGAAAAGAACCTGAGACGAAACAGAGTTGCGCGATATGCGCGATGCTAGTTCCCGCAGAATAGCCAAACTTTATCGCTCAGCTTCTGCCTTATGAAATTTTGTTTGGTAGCGAGCACCTTAGTGAGGCGATCAACAATCGGACAAGCCCACACCCCTCCGAGAACTTTTTTTTTAAATTCTTCCGCAGAGCATTGTTCTGTCAGCAAGGGTCGAAAGACAGGTCGCGCGCGATGCAAAATGTCCGGCATGGCGCAATGGCGCTTTGAAGCCAGCAAGTAGTCCCACGAGTCGGCCCTTAGGCGTGCGTCTCCATAGTATGTATGTATGCTGACTCAAAGGGACTTCTCTCCGGAAAGTGAGAGATGGTTAGTTTTAGGGTTGCGGATGTGCAGGGACAGGGCCTGGGGGAGGGGTGCTTTGGGCAAGCTAGGATGATCCCATCTGTCATCTGCAGCACGGCCTTGACGTTGATTCCGCATGGAGCCCTAGTGTCGGAGTATTTCCTCGCCTGGCGCTAGAATGCGGTTCATATGCATCGTGGTGCGAACGGACAAAGGGTAGGCATGAGCGTTCGTGGGGCGGTAAGAGGGCGATCACAGCTGTCACGCTGGCGTGAGTGGGATGCTGGCGCTTGGGACATGCTGGTAACGCAGTGGAATGCTCCGACATTGACGTGTCGCCTCGAGTGTCAAAATAGTGAATGTTAATGACCGAGGTTGCTGGTGCTATTGGGCGGGGTGGGTTTTTTGCTCGACCACAGTGCAGCATGATACTCACCGCTCTTGCAGCCAGTGCGAATGCGAACCTCCCATCTCCACAATACACCCGCAATCGATTGGGATCCATGCCCGGCAGCTGTAAGTGTGTAGCAATTCAGAATGCATGGCCGTCGATCGCGGTTCTGACAACCCTACGTACCTTGTTCCATGCCCATTGGAACTGCTCGTCCGTATAGCCCGTTTCGGCGTGCGAATGCCTGAGCTGGGCGCGGCCATGGGACACGCGGCTAACTGGTCGAGGCAACCAAAGGGCCAACGGTCGCATGTCGGTATGGGCGGATTCCTTCTCGAAGGTTGGCATCCAGGGATCATGGCTGAAGGTCGTTGACGATACCTTGTACATACGTGTACCTACTATGCACGTAGTAGACAATGGCCGCGCGCACCGCCGCGGCGCCCGCACGTGTGCTTGCGAAGTGGCCCTAGTCACAGCCAAATCCTAGGACTACGATGGACCGAAAAGATAGTGTAGTAAGAGGAAATGGCGCACATGGAAAAATAAGAGTTGCCAGCCTTGGCTCTGCTAACGCAAGGCTGACAGATTTGGCGCTGGGCTGGTGGCAGCCTACGGAAACTAGGTGATCATGGCGCAGGTGATGTTATTTCGAGCGCATCATCGTCTACCGCTAGGGACAATCACGGGTCGGTTCCGAAGGCCAGCGAAGAAAAAGGGTGCAATTGCTGGCCGTGTTGGCGACCTATAAGACGTGCCAAGTGGCTGGCATCTTACCAGGGGGCTGGTTGGCCTCTCACCCACGCCGCCAGTCCCCAATACTTGAATGCAGCCCTCGTGACGGCAACATGGTACGATGCCTCTTTTTGCACTGCCGTTTCTGTGTAAGCATCTTTGCCTTGGTCGCCGAAGAAGCCGTGGACGCACAGTGACGGCATGCATCGAAGCCGTGCCCTCTGTCCCTTTGCCTCCCTCCCCTCTTGTCCATGACACGCACAGCTGCAGCAGCCATCGGGAACGGGCGTGCGATAGCATCGCAAATGAAGAGCAGATAACAAACAAGCAGTGCGAGGCTGTCCGTGTGGTGACGACCTTTGCATGTCAGCCGCTCCAAGCAAGCGAGGCGGGAAATTGGCAAAGGGGGGAGCAAGAAAGGGAAAATCAGACAGGTGAAACACATTCCACGAGACTGGGAATGGGCCCAGAGCCGCCCCCTCCCCCCCTCCTCCGAACAGATGATGCGCAGATCTCTCTCCAAGCACGATCCACGGGCTTGAACGGATGCACTGATCCACCCTTCTCACCATCAAACCCGATTGGCACACTGGGTGCCTCTTCGACGACGTGGCGCACCTCTGTTCATCTACCTCCCGCGATTGCTTTTGGTGCCCGTCCTCCCAGCGGCTGACCTCGCTTAAGTCCATCACATACGTACTCATACTGTAGTCTGTATGTACGTTACATGCATGCGCGAAATCGTATGTCGCCTGACAAGTCGCAGACTTGCTCCGTGTGTCCTCCGCCCCCCGAAGTGTGTGGCATTGCATTCACTCTCATTTCTTTTTTCCCCGCCGGTTTGTGGGGGTAGGAGAAAGGGGGGAGAGAAGTGTTTGAAAGGGAAAGCCATACAAGTGTTTTTTCTGGGCACTGAGTAGTTAACACGGTATCATATCCGAATCCAAGCTATAGTGATTCAAAAAAGGGAAAGAAAAATATCTCGCTTCCGCCGAACGGTTTGGCAGGATTTGCTTACTTTACTTGTTGCAGTAAGGGTTCCTTCCCCCATCAGACGATTAATGTTTTGCGTTTTACTTTTTTTTGCCCTTTTGGCTACCATCGCCCGAGAAGGCGTAACCGAGCTTAACTTACTCTAACTACTACCTGCAAGCTTGTCGTCGGGCCATGTGGAGGGAAAGCGCCTCCCGAAGGCTTCCTAAGAGTCAAAGCAGTAGTAGCCGCTTGCGCATGCTATGGGCCAAGCCAGAGCTGGGGTTTCAGACTTATTGGATTGCCCCAAATTCGTTATCCAGCAGACCTGGGGCTCGGATTCTGGTCGGGTGAGCATCACTGCGCTCGGGGAATTGTTAAGTGATGATCGTCGCTCTAGCCTCATGCCTTTGTCGTTTGATTCAGAGTACTTGCATACTAGATACATTCAAGTGCAGATGGGGGTGTTGAGGCTCCATGCGAAGCAAGCCACATGCGGCTTTCGTCACATGTGCACTGCGCAGCAATATCGCTATGAATCACCGGTCGCAGAAAAAAAGCGAAGAGTTTTCATTTTTGAGGCGGGGGAGGGGGGCCCAATAGTGCACAGGTTTGAACTTTAGTGTTGTTGGTGGTCCTCGTAGGTGTATGGACGGCTGTAGATAACCAGACATCCGGGAAGTGGTGTGAATGACGACATTAGCAGACAACACATGGAGCTGCAAGTAATGACATGGCCAAGAGGTTAGGCGCTAAGATGACTCATGCGACCTGTATTGCTGACGGCGAAACAAAAAGGCCTCAGGCAGAGAGTAATCAAGTTTAATCCATACAGCTACGTTGCTCAAAGCGCAAGCTCCTAGGCAGTCTATTGTACTTGCGGCACTGAATGCGAGGAAAAGGGGATGTAGCTATCAGCCATATGAACTGATCTCTGGGCTATTTACGTTTACAGTCTCCTTTATTGGGTGTGCCGAAGTCGCTATTGGCATGACCATTGTTGGCCGGTACCCGGACAGCGGTGGGCGGCAGATAAATGAGACCATGAATGCCAGCCCTGATCATAACAGGCTGCATTATGCGGCTGGGGAGCGTAGCATCACAGAACTGGGGGATGCTCAACTGACCCTTTTTTTTCCTTTCCATCGGCCCTCCATGCCTAGCTAATCGTTATTACGTTGGTGTATAAGCCCCGGAAGGTGCAATGGACAGGGGAAGAAGATCGACCGAGGTGGGTCTGGCGAGATATACTTGTATGTACGTAGCCAAGGAGCCGTTGAAGTGACGGAGCCCTCTCGGCGACTGTTTCCCCCAATTCGACGCAGCCATTACGCAAGCCTAGTTCCATGGGTAATCCATTGCGAACAGCAAAGACGTCTTGGTTTGAAGTTGCGAGCTCCCAAGTGTATGCCCCGACGTCTTCAGTTTCCACTAGGTTTGGAAGCCACGACACGTTCCAGGCACAGCATCGTTCCCATGCCTGATCAGTCTCAATCCCCAAAAAATGTGACGATAGAGCAAAAGCGCGCTTATCAGTTGATCAAGAAAAAAAAGTCGTGAGATAGTAATATATTGATTGTGCAATTTGACACATGTCATAGCATTTGGCTGCATAACGCAACGTCTCTACTATAGTACAAAGAAATAAAAGTTATTTATTGGGTTAAAAAAATGATGCCGCGCTCCCTGATGCGAGACAGAAAAATTGTCTGTCGTATGAGAAAAACCCAGGAATAAGATGTAGGGAAATAAGCGTACAACATCGCGACTGATGGCGAAGTAGGATATCGTTAACAAACACGAAAACTCCATTGAAATGCATAACATGGTGGGAAACCCCCAGGCGCCGATGCAGAAGTCGTGCAAATGGTATCGTTGGCGAGATATGACAGAACAAAGCGTGTCATTAGAAGAGACTCCGAGTATGTCCAGGCTTGTCAAGGCCGATTGCGTAAGACGATTAGGTGCGGCGGCTTTTGGCCCATCATGCCGTCAGGGTGGTGCTGGAGGCTGCGTGGCAACCTCGCTCGTGTCGCTTCATGTTGCTGCGGACGCTGAAGGCTTTGCCGCATCCGGGTTGTGGGCACTTGTACGGCTTCTCGCCCGTGTGGCTGTGGCTGTGTATGCGCAAGCTACTGGGGCGCGAAAAGGCCTTGTTGCAGGTGGAGCAAATGTAGCGGTCCTGTGGCTGTGGGAACTGTGACTGACTTGAAGTGCTGATGTAATGGTGGTGTTGCCATGGGTTTGAGCCGTTGGCGGCAGGGCTCGGTACAGGTACAGGCAGAGGCATGGCGTGCGGCTGGAAGTTTGAAGGCAGAGGACGCTGCGAGTAGAGCGGAGTGCTGTTGTACGAGTGTTGCTCCGGCGAGTAGAATGAGGCTGATGATGCAGCTCCTGGCGAGGACTGGTAGGGAGACTGGCCGTACATGGAAGCACTGTAGGGCGACATGGAGTGCGACTGCAGTGAGTCGCGCTTCATGGGAGGCACTGTCGAGAAGTTCTGTCGCTGTTGGTGAGGCTCCATGTTGTTGAGCGCACCGCCGACAAAGTAGGGAGTAGAAGTTGCTGAGTGGTTTGATGCTACCGAAGGGGACTGGTTACCGTCGTGTGCAACGTCGGGGTGCATTGGTGGAGTTGGGGGCAGGGTCATCCGTGAGTTGTTCGGGGCCGAGATTGGAGTGTATTGTGGTTGCGGCTGCTGTTCCTGCCTCAGCTGAGGCGATGCCGACTTTCGTTGCTGTGATTTAGGGCTTTGGGAAGCTGGGAAGCTAGTTAGCAAAATGGCCAGGGGAGGTTGGATGCGAGTGTAAGGGTCCTACCTGAATCAGAGGATGCCGTCTTTTCGTTGCCAGCAAACTCGAGGAGACTCGAGATGGACGGAAGCGAGGGTTTCTTCTCCTCGGCTGGGGGTGAAGGGGGAGACTGAGGCCGTTGCTGCTTTTGTGGTTGTTGTTGTTGTTGTTGTTGTTGCTGATGTTGCACTTGCTGTCGGTATTGCTGCTCAACTTGCTGTGTGTGGGCTGGTGGTTGTACCGGGTATGAGGAGGCCGCAACGCCCGACATGGCGTATCCACGAGGCTGGGGTTGTTGGTAGTATGCCGGGTGTTGTGGGTGCTGAAAGGCCTCGCGGTCCCGAACGCTGCCGTGTACCATGCTGGCGAGATGCATTGCCATGGAGGAGGGTGTGATGGAGGTGGAGGAGCTGAGGGTCACGGGTCACTGCAGTGGATGGGTGATGGAGAGAGAGTTGTAATAAGTTATGCAAGAGTGGGTGAAGGGGGGGTGAGTGGTGGGCGGCGAACGAGTGATGACGAGATGGATGGTAGTCTGAGCGACGGGTACGGGCAGATGTATAGCAGTGCCAGGAATTCGGGCCTGCAGCGTTCAAGTACAATGTCTGGCGAATTGGCGAGATTCAGCACAAAGCCCGTTCGCACCGTAGCGTCGTCGGTGGACCTGTCGTTCCCTGTCCAAATTGCGTTTGAGCGGGCGATGAGGCGGCGGACCGTTGGCAAAAAGCCCACCTCCAACTGCACTTAGCCCGACGCTCAGTCCCTTGCAACGGCAATGCAGATGACAGACGAAGGCGGTTTAGAGTGAGGATGTGCACGACCCGTAGTAATGCCTTGGCCGAGCGATGCGCCCACACATGCCAGGCCGCCCAATCGACGCTGCGCCGGCGCAGGAGCGCTTTTCGGACACTCTTTGCAGGGGCCCTGGTCGAGATCCAAGGACAGGCCGCGATGCACTGCAGATCGACCGTTCCAGGAGAGACCCGAGGAGTATCCTCGTGGGCTCGTCGGAAGCAAGCAAGCTCGCTGCTGCTGCCACCGCTGTGGCTGCTGGGATCGAGCAGAGGTCCCCCGGTACTGCCCTCGGAGCGGAACAACCCTCGCCGAGTCTCTTCGTCTCACACACGCCGCTGCCGCCGCCGCCGGATGACGATTCAAGTCGCCGGCGCTGCAGCCGTGCGTCGCCGACGGCTGATTGATATCTATGGACTTCGTACAATACAAGCTGCCGGCTGGCTGGCTGGCTATCCTGCCCGGCCGTCCAAGGGGTGTGTGTATGTGTGTATGTGTGTGCGTGGTGCTCTGGGAGCGAGGGAGCCTCAGGGTCACAGGGCTACCTCTCTCGCTCGCTGCACGGCTCGTCAGGCTGTCGGATGCTGATTCCAGACCAGCTTCCCACTTTGTTCTTTCGCTCGCGGGCGTTGTTGTGCCTTGTCGCTTCGAAGGGGGGTGTGCAGCCTCAGGGCGTCGAGACAACACCACACGGGCTGACGAAGGATCGGGCAGGGGTGGGCAGACGGGAGGAGGGGGGGAGGGGGGCGAAGCGTAGGAACGGAACGGCAGAGATTGAAAGAATCAAACACTTGAGACAAGCCAGACACGGTACTGCACCTTGAACACGCTTTAAACGAGCACACGGGCAGGCACCCTCGAATGTCGCCTACATCAAAAGGGCTGGACAGTTGGACCCGTCGCAAGCCATGTGTGATGGCCTGCCATCGTCCCGCCAGAAGGATGGCACATTGAGGGAGCGGAAGCGAGTCAAGCAAGGCCATGGGGCGCCAAAGCAGTCTAATGCTAACCACCATGGCGGTGACTTGTCCGCATCAGGGCCGCCGTGGACTTTTGGGGGCATGCGACTGATTGGCCTGCATTTTGCAGAATAGCGAGGGCGGCAGTGGGGAGTCGACCTGGCGAAGCAATAGAGAATGCAGAAGCGCATGATTTGCTGGCAATATTGAGGCAGGTGGGCGGGCGGCAGCGGCAGTGGTGGTGGTGCAGCGCACATGCATACATACATACATACATGCGTACATGCTGTACAGATCTATGTATGGATAGATGTACATAGCATGTATACGTATGTATGTATGTATGTACTTACGTACGCACATATCTACTTGCAAGTGTAGCAGGGCCATATAAACTCAGAGACGTCGGCGAGGCTGACTCGCCCCCTCGACAGAGGTCTCCCCGGAGAGGCGCCAGAAGAAGGGGAAAGAGTTGTCGAGGACAGTGCTCACCGCATGTTGGCGTTTGTTGCTGCTGCTGCTCGCGCACTCTGCTGCTAGTAAGTAAGCGGTGGAATGGCCCCCCCTCCCATATCCCATGGCATCCCCCCCCCCCCAATACGGCTGCTGGTTTCAGCACCAGCATCAGCACAAGCACAGCATTTGGATCAGGGCAAGCGCGGGAGGCCACGGCGGCGCGACGGCTGATGCCTTTTTCCAGCGACCGTCTCCGACCCCAGCAGCGACGACGTCGTTGGGGCGCCGCCAGGGCGGGATGGCGGCGTTGAGCCACGGCTTGGCCTCGTCCGACTGTGGAGGATCTTTGAGAAAGAGGCGGGTCGATCAGCAGCAAGCGCATGCAGCTAATGCCGGGGGGCCACGTTGGCTGTCACCGTCGCTGTCGCTCGACACCTCAAACTGCTGTAGCCGATGACATGCCGCCACCAATCCACACGCCGCAAGCCCCCCATCTCCCGACCTTCCCTGGCGCTGACCCGCCTTCGAGAAGCTGCCTGCTGCAATGCCACACCGCACATATCTACTTACTGTGTAGTAGTCCAGTCCAGTCCAATCCAGTCTTCAGTCTGATGACACCGCAGACACATGCCGCTAGCAAGGCCGAAGACGCCTCTGTTCATCGCCGCTCGCTCACGCCCACGGCATTGGCATTGCCCTCACCCTCCTTCGCCTTCACTCTCGTCCGCCCCCAATATATGTACACTACATAGCGCGATCGCGTGTCTCGCCCTCCGCCTTTGTCGTTTGGCGCTGGACCGTATCAGATATGAACTGTGACTTGACCCCCATCTGCTGTCCCTCCAAGCTATTCTACTTGACTCTGCTCCTGCATCTGCATGTACATACGTACATAGACATGTAGCATATAGCAAGCCCATCCGTCATGTCTGTGCGACAAGACACGGGCGGCGGACGGCAAAGCTGCGAACCTAGAATCACGTGCACGGACACACCATCCAGGGTTTTCCGTTGATGGAAAATTTCCCAGCTCGGGCCATCCTCCACCCACGCCCGCCGCGCGACTCGCGCGTATCATACCGTCTCTTTGGGTTTCGCGCGCGATGCAATGCACCGCACACGTTGCTCCCATTCCCATTCCCCCCCGCCCTCACCCAGCTAGTACGTACGCAACGCACGCTTGCCCTTCTCTACCGGCTTGACGCCATGCCCACCCGCCCCTTCTCGCCAGCCCTAGGCCACCGCTCTTTACTTGCTTGCTTGCTGCTTGCCTACCGCGGAATGCGTGCATGATCTCCCGGAACAGGCCACCAGCCCAGACATACACACTACTGTAAGTACTACTGTACATCTCTGTAGCTGCTGTGTCTGATCTCAGGGCGCGTGGGATTGGCAGGGGTATCGATACCTGGGCCACATCGTGACCCATCATCAGCGGGAACACGCTTGCATCCATCCATCAGTCTGCCTCCCTTGTGCCATCCGAGCGATCCTCTCGGCGTTTCATTGTCACGAACCGACATGCCAACACCCTCCTCACTACCCTCCCTGTCCGTCGCACCTTCTGCGCCTCGGGCCCGTCTCATACTGGCTTACTGTAGCCTTTTTGCCTGCCTCTCCCTCAAGCACCACACTCATCTCATCATCACCTTCTCACAAGCGATGCCGCCTAGCATCACTACAATTGAGCTGTTGTGTCGCCTGCCGCTTGGGCCACGACGCTTCCCAGGGTATCCCGGCTAAAGTATCTAGGCGAAGCCAGCGCGGACATGGCAAGGCTGCTGCCTTAATTACATCTCTCTTATTGGCCTCTGCTCCTGAAATAATCAGTCGATCTACCGGCCTTCTTCCGAATCGTATGAGGCACAATATACCTGGGTACATGGACCGCTATGACGCCGCCTGGGGGTTTCGCCAAGCGCAACGCCATCGATAATCCTAGGAGCAACCGCATTGGCCCGCCAAAACCTCGCATTAACGGCCATTTTCGATTGGCCTGAAAACGACGCCCGTTACACATGTATGCCCGTCGTTGCTCTCCCCAGACATGCAACGGCCATTTTGTTTAGTGTGCACCGCCCAAAACCACATCCTCGATACGAACACAAGCGTAAAGCTCATATGCCCGACTTTCCCAAAGTACAGTGTAAAATCCCTCAATCGAGTACAGCCGGACGACTGATATCTCCACTGCTCGACTAGTCCAAGGGTTCTCCTGGTACATTTAAAAAATATATACCAGCCTGCTTACTCGTGCAAATTGGCCAAGGAAATGAGCAAAACCCAAGTGAAGCGTAACCGACTATTTGAGAATACATACTACACACGTCTTGAGGAAACCAATCCTGGTATACAGAGGCCCCTGCAAGAACACAGTCTGCTCTAACATCGATTGCAACTGGATGAGGCCATTGGGTCTTATTCGCATCCTGTGCATACAATACGCCTCGCCAAACGCGTCTGTATCGTCCGTGGTTTACACCCATACTTACCTACACGTTGTTCCCTTCTTGCCCAACCGAAATTGTCGTTTAATATCCACTTCCGGCATCCGGCTTTCCAGCTCCTTCGGCCATTATGCCATCCCGACGACTCGTTATTAATGGGGTACTTTTATATTCTCGTGTCATAAGCCGCTCACCTGTTCCTTGTCAAAACAAAATCGTCCGCAGCCCTTCTTCTTGAAGCCTCACACATGGCTCATGTCGAGGCATCCCGGGCTCAGTTCTGCCTTGCCTTGCCGTGCCATCCGCATGCAAGCCACCGTAGCTAAGCGGCTCTGAAGATCAAACACGTTCTGTCCACATGAGACTTCCCAATACCGAAGCCTTCGCTCCTGTACCAAGTCACAGGGATGCGGATGACAGGGTAACAAATGAGACCTAGCGGCCCGAATGGGGCAGCAGAGCTCCCAAACAGGTCAACGGCAACGACAAACGGTCCAGTACCGTGTCGCGCACCCTGTCCCGTCTTCTTCTTGTTGAGTATGTCTTCCGGTTCCATTACGCCACGACAAGGGGCCACGTAGATCAGTCCAGAGTTCTTTCCCACCAACACGGCGAGATGTGCTCGGCTGACCGTGAGATTCCCCAGGATGTGACACAGCCAAGTCTCAGATCAGCCGGATCAAAGGGAATGTCCACCAATACTGACCAAGCCTGATGACGGGCGGACTGCAAACCCCTCGATTTTCTTGTCAGCTCTTGTGCATTGTGCGTCGCCGCCGATGAAGATCCATTTGCAGGGCATTCGGTACGCCTTCCATAAACGATTGTTACCGGTATCTACCGGAAGGATTCACTTCCCATTACCAGAGTGGACATGTTCGTCGACAGACTCGGTAGACGGTGCGACGTGCGCCAGCAAGCCTATCGAACCCTCCTGTTTCACCAACACACAAACCTTGGAGTCCACTTCTGCAAGACATAAAGCTGCTAACTTGACAGAGACTTTGACCGTCGCAAAAAGCACAGTCACATCCATATACGGTATGTAGAGATTGCGATCTGTGGTCTGGCCGACGTGTCTGTATCCCTCCCCTCATCTTGGTCTAGCTGGGTATGATAGGCCGCCAATACCACAGTGGATTAAAAAAATGTGGAAATAAACTAAGCGAGCATCATCACTGGATACGCTGATGCTCCATTTCTGGGCCCTGTCGACACATCTCGGCCTGACCCACCAAACGTCCGCGTCGGCTTGCCTGAGTCCCCTGTCACTGCAGAAATCGTTAGCGTATCTTCGACCATGTGGCTGATGTCCGACAAATCGATTCGTCAAGACGGTGTGACAGGACGTTAGCATCGTTCTCGCACGTACGATGGAGACGCTACAGGCCACACCATGAAAGCAACCACTACTGTTCTGGGCCTAACGGCTCCGCTTATTGCTTTTGATTTACCCCCAGGCTTGGATCTCGAACAGCCCGCTATCTCCGTTGGTGTTCCCCCTGTTTCCTTATTCGAGCTGGCAGTGAGACTGACACCAGATCCGTATCGCTATGCGCCGCAAGGAGTGCTTCTACCTCGCAGCCACCCAAGGCTTACTTCTTGAAAAGTGATAACACACCTGCACATGACATACATTCTGCCAATTCATCTCTACGATCAGTGTGAGATGCGGAGAATTAGTAGTCCCAGGAATCCTCTTGCAAAACTTCATGTCAATCAAAACTCAAAATGATCCGCAATTATAGCGCAAGGGGTGGGAGCGGTCAAGGAGACTTTGGTTCTTTTTTTTCACAGTGGATTCATTTCAGACGTGCATAATGAACGCAGGACCAAGCTCAGATGGTTTCCCGCTGTCTATGCGCCTACGCCGTGAGCCAGATCGTACCCTGACGCTTTGGCCCCGCCAAATTAGTGACCGTTGCTGTTGCTTTTGTCATCGCAACGTCTATGCGAAGTGAATATTGATGGCTACAGATTAAGCATCACATCGACGATGTGGAGGAGTCGAAGGATTGCATCGCAATATTAGCCCGATGGCCCACGACACGTCAATCGTTCCCACCCATGCGCTTCCTCTGAATTTCGGCATCTGATCCCTACGCACTTAGCACTCATCAATCCCGGAGCTACGGGCAGATCCCCATCCCTTCTGCACAGCAAGGGAAATGATCACGGGCGAACGTACCCGTCCAGGACTGTCGGGTCCAGTCAGTCCATGTCGGCACAAGCGCCTATTTCGCATTCAGCGAAGCCTCCCGCCACATTCCAAGTTGCAAGTGCCGTCACATGTGATGACCGAACCCGAGCTGGGGAGTTTCAATGCTGGGGCTCGCGACAGGTTCAGGAGTGATACCAAAAGAAAGTCTCTGTGGGGAGTGCCGAGTGTTTTGCTCTGCTCCACTAAACGGTTGCACGTATGGAGCCCTAGTACAGCATCGTCCGAAGCTACCGTAGCATCTAAATATTGGGTACGGTGCGCTACTCGACGCCGGAAAGATTGCGCTGCAGGGCACCTTGGTTGAAATGACTGCCGTGAGGCAAATGGCGGGGCACAAGATCACTGTTGCCACTGTCGTTCGGTCCTTCACAACGTGGACGACCATCAGCAGATCCACACTTACCAACCTGGCTGTCGGGAGATGCCCGCGGCCGCAGTGATGTGTTGACGTGGACATCACTCTATCGAAACCTAATCTCCAACACGACAGTCTGCCTGTGATGGGCATGCAATGCCCGCCAGCTCATGCAGCCCGTGGATCATAAACATGGGTTTCAGGCCATCACACTACCTCTTCTTGCTCACACTACCCTCTCTTGGTAAGCCCAATGCAAGTCTAATCAATCGCTTGGTTGGCCTTTTTTTTTTCTGTCAGTCCTGCCGGTCTTAGTGCTGCATCACGCATTCTGGACTCCGGAGAATGTCCGAACAGGTTGTAGTATGCCCACTGCCATGCTTGATGCCCCCCCCTTCCCAAACTACCACGACGGTCATCTTTCCCTCCTGCTATCACTTCGCCGATGATTATCTTGTCATCACTAAAGGAAGGAACAGCACCAAACGAGCTAACGCCAGTGTAGTGCACATCATATGGTCCCTTAATCTTTTTTTTAGCACCTGGCTCCAGTTGTTCATCCCCTTCCCCCTACTTCCGTCCCATTACTGCTGACGAGATGCTGACACAAGACGGGGGGCGATACCCGAGGGCAGGCCTGGGATCTGCAGTCGCCTGCAGCTCCAAACTTGATATTTTGTCGGCAGAGGGGAAGGTATGACGACATTAACGCTCCACACAACGTTTATCACCAAGGTACTGCCGGAGGCGCCGACTCCGACGTACATCGTCATTACAATCATCATGATCACCAGAGGTCTAGAGTTGTCTGCATGTTGCGATGCACCCGATTCAATGAGGCTGCGGTCAAGACTCAGGCAAATCAGCCTATCTACGGCCGTAACCGTAAGGCTTG